CATGATCTTACCTGCGACCCGCACCGTGATGTGACAATGTGCTAGGGCCAGGGTGTTGAAGGGCTTGCGCGCTGCAGCGGTAGGACGTGTTGGCTGTTTTGCGGGATCCTTGTACTGAGGGTCGAGTTCTATAGGGTGTATAAACCCTCTGAAACTTGAGAGAACTATTCTAGATCCTTCCCGGATTCCAACACCTTTGTCGGATCACCAACATAGGTTAATCGGAAGGGGTTATATGGCTTGTCATGGTTTTGTAGGGCAATCATTTAGAAGGGTTTATTTAGCATAGTGGTCTTAATACATGGCGATGCTGGCCTCTACACTTGCTGTGTAAGCATGCTGCAAGGTTTGCACCCAGACTCTGTTCTAGCTACGCAGGCCATTATTCAGCCGACTCCTCAGTGCCAAGTCTGGTAGGAACGGTTTGGGCAGATTCTTTGGCAAGAACAGGAAGAAAAGAAACAGAAGGCGGCAGCGGCTTCAAGCCGAAGCTGAAGTGTGCAGTTCAGAGACGGCAGAAGCTGCAGCATGCGGCAGCTCAGAGACGCCGAAAGATGGAATTCAGGAGCAAGCCTTTCATGGGGATCAGGCGCCTAGGTTGGATGTTGTGACAGAGCTTCAAGAGGCGCTTCGTCAAGCAAGAGGTGATTTGCTCCTGTTGAAGAAGTCCAACAAAGGCCTCTTGATTCAGCTTAGGCGGGTGCGCAGCTCCAACACAGCCCTGCAAAAGAAGTTGGACGACAAGGCCCGGATGCTTGAAAAAGAGCAGGAGTTCAATGCAGCTCTTGTGGATGGCCTCCGTCAGGTAGGTACACGGACATGCTCCGAAGCTTCGGGCAGGTATGAGACAGTTGCTTGTTGGGAGTATTTGGAGCGAGAGCCGGACTCATGGAGACGATATCTCCCGGATGCGGAACAGTGCACACTGGGACAAATTGCCGGAGCTGACGATCAGTGGGTCGGGTTTCAGGTATCTCATCAACTTTTCTGCCATGACGCAAACAACTGTGGAGACAACAAAGACACGTACTGTACGCAGACGAGAAATTCCGCTGCACGCTGATGCCGTACTCAAGATGACTACGGAAACCCAGCACTTGCGTGGAGAGAACCAACACTTGAATTCGGTCCTTCGCAAGAAGACTGAAGAGATCCAAGAACTGGAGAAAGACGTTCACAGCAAGGCAAGACATATCGATGACTTGCACTGGTCCGTCCAGTACTTACATGATTCTGCCAGAAAGACGGATCAGCAGTATGCGAAGCTGCAGTCTGAATACGCCACATTGAAGGATCGTGTTCATGAGTCCGATAAGCTTCAGTCAGAACTGGAGCAGGACAGGCAAAGATATTGCAGACAATTCTTTCCCAGCTTCCCCCGAAACCATTGGATGAGTCGGAGAGACATGTTTGCAGAAGCTTGAGTGTAGAAGATCCGAAGTATGCTTGTCTATCACGGCAATTTCAATCCTCCATCGTCGGCCATCGCTTGAGGCTTGGCTTGGACCTTCGGTGCGATCCAGCAAGGGTCTCTGTGACACGCATTGAGGAGTTGGTTCACCCTGCAAATCAGGTGCTTTATGAAGCGGCGCGTCGTATCAGAGCAAGTGAAGATATCAGCTGTGGCTGCACTCCAATTGCAGGCATCTCTGCCTTCAAGTGCGAGGTCCTTCCGGGCTGGGTTGACATGAACGAATACCTGCTTTATCACGGCAGCAGCTTGCGTAATACAGAGCAAATAGTCGCCCGGGGATTTGATGCCCAACGTGGTGGAGAGTCAGCCGGGGCGATGTTTGGAAGGGGTGTCTATTTCGCAGAGAATGCCTCGAAATCAGATCTCTACACAACTTGTGATCTGTGCAAGGACATCGGCAACCATGACTTCCGCAAATGTTGCCATGCCCAAGGTGAGAGATGCGTCTTGGTCACAAGGGTGCTTCTGGGAGAGAGCAAGATTGTCAAGAAACTGCTTGATGCTGGAGGAAAGGATCAGATTCGGGCCCCGCAGCGTGATGACGGAACATCCTACGATTCCATGACCGCAGTATCAAAATCGGAGGGGGGACTGCTAGACCATCGGGAGTTCGTGGTGTTCAAGGACCCGAAAATGCTTGCGCGTTTCCGGATCTTTTACCGGCACGACTGCGGTTGCTCATGCAGCGGTTGCCAGCAATGCAGATCAAGCACCTGAGTTAGTCATACTGCCTCGCTGGCAAGGTCAAACTGGCCAAAAGGCCACCATGGCTTTGCCATATTTAAAATGGTATCAAAACGAGCGACCAGGTCTGCCTGTATTGACAAACTGGTCAGCATTTCCTCACTATGTCGACTGTACTTGGCCTTGCTCTATACTATTGCCGCTGCTGCTGCTGCTGCTGCTGCTGCTGCTGCTTCTGCCCACCTCCTCCTCCACCTAGTCCTACTCGTCCTACTACTGCTGCTGCTGCGACTACTCCTGCTACTCCTACTACTACTACTACTACTACTATTGCTACTACTGCTACTACTGCTACTACTGCTACTCCTACTACTGCTACTCCTACTACTACTACTACTACGACGACGACGACGACAAATCCGTGCTCTGTA